TTTTTTTTCTGTTTTTTTTTTTTCTGTAGGAAAGGAATTGATCTATGAAAAGAAAAGAGGGCGTCACCGACCATTTAAGAGAGTAAATTGCAGGCGAAGTTAGCTGGTGCCAAGCCTATACTTGCTTATCTTCCCTTCTTACAGCGCGCGCTTGATATGTATGACTTGGGTGACGTTGCAGCGTGAATCACGCGCGCAGTAAGGATGTGCAGAAACAATAGGCCTGAACGTCAGTCGCTATTCTAAGATTAAATTAATTTCGATAAATGTACGCTAATGAGGCATATAAAATATTGCGCTATCAAAAGACTTACCCTATTGTGACGCGCAAAGTTAATTGATTAATTGATAGATAATTTTTTATTGACTGATTTGAATGCGATCTGAAGCGCGCGCGCGCCAACAAAGAAAGTCGCACACGATTTGACACATGGCGGCAAGGACGCGCCTACAGGATCAATCCACACAGGAGGCAAAATTTAATATCTTAAACCCTGATGGCGCGTTCGCAGCCGAGGACGCGCAGCCAGGCTCCCTGCAGCAACACTGCCGCACGTTCATTTTGCAGGCGATGGGACTGAAGCGCTTGGCACGTATTGTCGATCTTCCGATCCCGAAGACGATGATCAATTTCTTAGCCAATCAGCTTACAGTGGACGACTTTTACGTCAACCGAAATAACTTGAACTCTCAGCACATTTCGCACTGCGTGTACCCGGCCAAGTGCCTTCTCGACATGTCCGAGGTACTGTTAAAGTGCGTGCCTCCCTGCTTAGCAGATGATCGCGTTAAATCCGCCATGGAGGCTTGGAGTGGGGTAAGCCATCCAAATATTATGCAAAGTCTAGTGCAGTTCAGCCAGGGAGGCACCGACATTATTGTATTTGAATACCCTCCCGTTGCCCTTCTGGACATTCTTCATGAGCGTAAAGGACTGCGGAGACTATTGCCGGAATACCTAATATGGAAAGCGCTTTGTGAGCTGTCCTCAGCCTTGAAGTACCTAAACGACAAAGGAATTATCTACGAAACTTCCACGCCAATCGACCGCATCTCTTTTGATGAAAACGGAACATTAAAACTGGACAGTGGCTTGTTGTACATGGCTTCTGCGCAAGACAACATGAACGCCATGGCTATGGGGGATAACGGCACGGGAATTTATTCCCCTCCGGAAATTTTGAAAGGACAGGTATTTAGCCCTGGAAGTCAAGTATGGCTCCTTGGGTGCGTGCTATACGAGCTCGCTACAATGGAACCCCCATATAAGATTGTAGGAACAGACATGTTTAGCGCTCTGGCTAACATCATGGAAGGCAGACCCCCTGAAGATATTAACGAGAACTTCTCCGAGGAGCTGAAAACCTTGATTCGTGACTGTCTGAATGGCGACCCCGACCTGAGACCGAACATGGACGAGCTCGCGAACAGGACATCTGTCGTTACAGAGAGAATGAAACAAGGCTACCAAGGGCCGGAAATTGTCGATTTGTAATTAAAGAAGCATCACAGCGACTCCTCTAAGTTGGAAGAAACTTAGATTAATCTTAGTTCAAGGAATATAAACAGTTCATTGCGCTGATAGACGCCACACTCTTTGAATCTGGAGTACATTTTAACACGTGTCAAAAATGCTAAAAGTTCCAAGTGAAAAGTACTACACTATCCGAAATTGCAAGAACAGTTTTGAAGTGGAAAAATACTAATGTTGATCTTACGTCGCGAAAAGCTGCACACGTTTGCTCCTTGCTCAAGATGTTCAATTTAAAATCCTGTACAACAGTTAACTTCAAGAGGAGATCACTCTTGGCTGCACTAAGTGCGAAACAAAAGTGTTGAAATAGTAATGCAAAACCGTTACGCTCTTTTTAGCTTCTAAACGGAATAAAGCTCGTTTAACTACATCAGCTTACAACAGAGTTATACTTGTATTTAAAAGTCAGTTCATCAGAGTTGACAAAGTCGTTAAAATTTGACAGCAACACCGCCGAAGTATAGAAGAAGCAAGGCAACATGAGTCGAATCCTCGATCAGATTTTGGCATATGTAGAGCTTAAAATTAACAAATCACTTTTTAAAGTTAAATTCAATGCACTCCAAAGTTGTTGTTTTTATCTGCTAAATTCTACTGCTGAAACTTTAACAAGGAGTTCCTCTGTCGAGGGAACTCCTTATTTTTTCATTTAGTCCGTACTTCTTGAAAACATTTCCACAATTCGATAAAACGATGCCAACTTTCCTAATTTGGAACGAAAATGTACATTACAATCTCCAAAACCACAAGTCTGTTGCAACCGCCTGTCAATCAGAGGAGGAGTGCGATGGTTCGTCGCTCTCAGTATAACGTCACTTTGCCCCGTTTCTGCATCATGAATTCTCGTTCCCAGAGCCCGGCCTGTCTCTCTTAGCCGGCGGAGCATTAGCACGACGAAAAACAATGATTTGATTGGCTAGATTCTTGGACTACTGTTCAACGATGGTTTTCATCCCAAAGATATCCAATGGTTTAATCTTTAGCTAAAACCGTTCATTTACAGATGCACTTCATGTACGAGTGAAGGTACTCAGTGATAAATAACTCTGATCTAGCCTTGAACTAAAACACCACTCCACACTTTCTATCAAGGACGGTTGTATATCGCCTGGGTGACCCTTTCCGGAGAAGCTTATTTCGACACCGGAAATAAAAATTCCGATAGCGGTTTTCACCAATGATTTGTGCGGGTCGAAGCGCGAAAAGGAATCGAGTAAAGATGCTCGTAAGATTTTCAAGCACCGTGCATTTGGGCTGTGATTGAAAACTGGGGAAAACTGGCCCGAGGTCGTGGCAGTACGGACCAAGCGCACCGAGGTCCTCACAAAAGCCAATCCGAACGCTCTGATTTGCCTCAAGACTACCTTGTCGTATAATAAGACGCAATACCGCACAGCTCGTTATATATTATTTTATCTCTATATGTATAAATTTCTGGATTCATGAACACGATGTTGTTGAAAATTTATCTTTTTCGCTCTAAGTCCAAGCTTAGCGTTAACAAATCATTTTTCCGTGGTTCCCAGTCCTCCCGTTAACTTTCTGTGAAGTCTTCCCGGCAACCTTTGAGTCAAAACATGGCGGACAAATTGCCGTGATAGTACTAGATCCCTATTGAAAATCTCTCCGATCTGGAAGACAACCATGCTCGACAGCGTCATTTTACTGCTTTTACTTTCAGTGCCTCCTATTTTCTCACACCAGCAGGAAAATAACGAAACAAAATGCCCGGTGTTTTCGGGGCAGTCAATTTTCGTAAACACCACTGGGGAGGACTCCGAGACCTGTGGACCGCAAACCAAGCCTTGCCGCAGTATTGCTTACGCTGTTGAGCTTGCAGGTCGCAAGAATATTAACTCGGTTATATTAAATATCTCCGTGGGTAACTACCAAGAGGCGGAAAGTCTTAAACTCGACTGTGGTAGACGGAGGTTGCAGCGTGTTACTTTCTGGGGAGCGAGGTATGGCTATTTAACAATTAGA